TTTTTTTTTTTTTTTTTTTTTAAGAGCATTACCAACAAAACATTCATTTTGGAGTTTGTTACAATCCAGACTCCTAATCAGCAGCTCAGGAAGTAATAAAATCAAATCTGTTCCATCAGTGAAATGCCCAAGAATGTTGCTTCCGACACTCCTACTTCTCCGTGTAACGTTACTACCTCGAGTTTACATATTTCTCCAGCAATTATTTCCAGACATTCCTCTCCCGAAGACTATTCCGGAGACCATTTTATTTTTAAAATACCAAGAATGCAGGACAGCCAAAAAGCCCTTGCTACCAAAATATCAATCATTCACCAAACAGTAAGCGGAGGACCTTGACAAAAAGTGTTTTTTTTGTTTAAACTAAATTGTAAAGGTTTTTTTGCTTTGTTTTTGGTTTTTCAAGTGTACAGGCCGGGGGCGGGGGGAAATGTGGACAGTGGGCCGCATCCAGCTCGCCAAGGGAGTCTATCCAGCCTGCAGCGGGTCCCTCCGCGGTGGGTGCAGGACGGATGGGCCCGAACAGCATCAACTGCCACCTTCCCCTGGCACCAGGTCAGCGCACGCACCCCCCTTGGACCGCAACAGCTCACCAAAGCTCCAGGCCATAATTGCCCACCCCTCGGGTAAGCACTGGACGTCCTTAACAAATACCCAGGGAAACGTCTGCTCAAACATTTTAGGGAATCATTGTATAAAATGAACCAAGGCCCTGCCGGTGTCAAGGCAGCCCGATCCGTATACAGAGAAAAGACGGGCGTTTGCTTCTGAGCGCACAGATGTTCCCTCCGAATAACAAGTACAATTTTGTGAGGCAATCCTGGGTGATTTGTAGTGAGTCACGTATATGGAGACAAATTGCTTCAGCAAAGGAAAATATTCATCCAGCTTTATAAACTGCTTAGAGAAGCACTGTTAGGCCCATATTTGCTGGCTGGCCTGTCAGTAATGCTCAAATTGCCTACAGCCTTTGAAATTAAACAGCATTTGATGACTGAACGGATAAACATGACTGTGGGGGGCGGGAGGGGGAAATTCAGCCCTTGATTAAGTAGAGCTTTCCATTTGCATTCAAACCCACTGTGGCAGTATGTGCGTACCCTGTACATTTCAAAGATCTTCTCTCACTACTTGTTTATACCTGTGCTCTTGGTCTCTTTTCCAGCCTTATTTTTCCAATCAAAGTCTTAGTTTAAACAAATCTGAATCACTTCCTAAAATCTTACCAGTCTGGAAAAAGACAGACATTTTCTCAAAATAGGAACAGTTTATCCCTGACAACTGCGTGACTTTCTCTAATGAAAAAAGATGTGCTGGGTAGATTGGACTATAACCCAGTGCCAAGATTTTCATCCCGATGCTCTATAAGAAGTCTCAGATGTTCAATGTATGGGATGACTAGGAGGGTCTCCATACTCGACTTGCATCCGAGCACTGCGTGCATCTACGTAGTGACAGCTACTTCATTTTCTGGTAGGAAGCCATCACGGAGCATTGTGGAAAGAGTCCATTTCACCCACCAGCTCGCGCTGTACTCATGTACAACTGGCACATGCACATCACTACACCTCGGTTGTGTGCAGTGGCCATCTGACCTCCTGAGCGACTACGTTCTTTGAGGTAGTTGAAACCTTTGAGGTAAGAAATGAAAGCTCAAATAAGATCTCAGTTGGCTTTGCCCGCCAAAGCTAGCATTTGAGAGGAAAGCACAACTTTCCACACATTAGATGAGACTCCTCCAGTATTTTTCCACTTAATCAGTGAAGGTATTAGTCAGTTATAGAATTACTCACCCGATTAGGGAGACCATCTGCTCCACTATATGTTTGCTGAAAGTTATAATAACGAAAAGTTTCTGTAGGAAGGAAAACATCAGTTAGAGAAATGTTTATTCAAAAGGGAAGCCAGGACAATGGAGCACAACAGCTTATGTTCCTCTCCAATTAACGGGCTTCTCCTGCAGTTACAGATCATTTTCCCTTCACTTTTCTTTCAGTGTCCTTGCGTTTCCATCTCCACTTCAGTGCAAGGGGCAGAACAACGAAGTGCTGGTCGCACTTAAAACAGTATTCCCTTTCCTCACACATTTTGTTTCAGGCTATATTTTTTTCCAGCCTGGGTAGCTGACCGTTTGCCTCCTCCCAAAACCAAAATTCCCAGAAGCTCAAGGTCACTTTACTCCCGCAACACTGTTTTAATGCAGAAATAAGTATTGCTGGGCAGAAAGAAAAAGTCTGTCCCTGGTACACATATGGACATAGATGTCAATGTCAAGATTTCATGAGTGAAAGACAGTTGTCTCCCGGACTCCAATCCTTAACCCTAGCAGCATTTCAAAGGCAAACATCTAATGCTTCTGTGGGAAACCCCAAGCCTCAGTCCGTAACACCCCACTTACAATAAATACTCCAGGGGAAACTGGCAGCATAACCATTTTCAGGTTGGAGAGCTTGCTCAATTGGTTGCAGCAGGTAAGGGACTGATGCAATATTTATAGTCTCCATTAAATCAGGGTACATGCGAGCTGATGAGGACTGAACAAGCTGGACTGGGAATAAAACCATGCCAAGTGATTCTGTGGGGCAGATTAACAGGCCAATTATAAATGCAACTATAAAACGGCTACCGAAACAGGGCCACTGGCTTCCTGTCTGGAGGAGGTTTTCACTGTAAAGCTTTTCCACGACCACCACATTTCCTAAATTGCAAATTTCACCAGGATTGTGACAAAGCCCAGCTTATTTCACAACAGCCTGCCTGAAAGAAGACAAGCAGAGTGGAGCTCCAGTAGCTGGACACACGTGCAATATAAAAATGATTTATCAAGTGCAACAAGGCTGGAGTATTGGTTGCTTACGTACGCTGCATCCAGATACAAAGTACTATAAATTACACTGCAAAACAATGCAGATGTTTCCCCAGCTAATCAGGGCAAAAAAGTCCCAATAATTATTTCACAAAGACTTGGCGTTTGGGGTTTTTTTTTTGCATTTTGTGTAGTTAAGATTTATTTCTGACAGCACAGAAACGACCCAAAAAAAAAAGTCCTGAGCAATACAAGTCTTCTTGCAATAAATGCAACTTCATGATTTGAGGCTCATGAATCAGGCTCCATCCTAAAAGAGAGGGGAGAAGAGAGACTCCAGAAATAGCCTGCTGTTCGGGGTGGGAGAAACGGCCTTTTAACAGTTTCTGTTGGAGGAGGCGTCTCTGTCGAAGCTGCTTACTGCGAGGCAGACTTGCACTGAAGCCACGTGCTCAGGGCACTAGCAGTGGGATTTGCTGTTCTACCTCTATCCTACTGCGCAGGTCTAGCACCTGCTTTGTGGAACAGCAAAACGTCACTTCGGGCTTGTCCAACTGCAGCATGACTGCTAGGCTAGCCATTACGTGAGAGAGGGCATGCCGCTCTATACCCCACTGGGCAAGATGGTGGAAAGCTCTTTCAGTTACCTGAAAAGTTCCAGCAAGATTTTCAAAGGTGGCTAAAGACTGCAAATGCCCAATTTAATGCACCTCGAAAGAGCCTGGCTTTCCGAAAACACGAGGCACCCCCTCTCTGAGAGCCATGCCTCTGTACAACATCACAAAGGCAAGCACCCCCCGCCCGAAACAAAGTCACTGGCCATAATTTTCAAACATGATTGAAACTTCCAAAAAACCCCTCCCCAGGGTTGGTGTCGGCAGCAAGCAGGTGAGAATGGGTGAAGCCAGCCAGATTAGGAGATGCGAGGACTGGAATCGTCTTTAAAGAAGCAACTGAAGCGAAAGGGGACAATTGAAAAGACCTCCCAGCTGGTAAAGGCTAGCTCCAGGGCTCTCTGCAAATGAGTGTGCGTGGTACCAAAAAGGCAAGTTCATTATGAGCGCGAAGCCTTTTCAGTCTGGTAAAAACCCTAGGTAAATAGCTTGGCTAACCACCAATTTCCTGAGTGGTGTAGGCGGTGAGCTCATTAGCCATAAATTATTTTGACACAAGTTCTCAGCACAATAAGCCTCAGAGCCTTTATTTTAAATCTATTGTGCCAAATTAATTTCTGTCACAGCAAGTCAGGCAAGGGGTCTTCACGGCACTCTGAGGTGCTGTAGAGTTAATAGTGCAGTACTTATAGGGAAAAAACACAACTCCTCCAAGAGTTTTGTAGGAGGTGTAACATGCACTCACCTGGATGTGCATTTTAATTATTGCTTTCCCAATCAGGGTTGCACCGAAGAAGGTCCAAAAGGGAACAAGGAAGTGGCCACATGTTATCCCGGCCAGGTCGAAGAGCGGGTTTGGAATCTGCGAGTGCAAGAGACAAGTTCAAGAACCTGACCGCCACGCTCAAAACACTCCGATCAACGCCACCGTCCCGCGCCCTCCTCCCTGCCCCTTTCTTCTTACTGGGGATGAGCCAAAAATCCTCCTGTGTCTCAATACCTACAAAACCATTAATATTACATTACAGCACATAACTTAATTCTGGGGGATTCAGCTAGACAATGTCCCAGACGATTCCATCCTGATATTCTCGTTATCCCTGGATTATAAAGCAGCTCACAGATATTTTCCATGGGAAATGTGCAGAAACCACAGTAAAGACATTTGGAGTGATCTATCAAAATGTCTCCCCAACAAGCACATTGCTTATGCAAGCTACTGCCCAAAGTGTTCTCCAGTGATTTCTTCTGAAGACAGATATCTAAACACCAGGCTTTTCCGGCACGCATCCTCTGTTTAAAAGCACAGATTATGGGGTTTCCCTCCCCCCCTGCCCCTGGCCTGAAACGCATGCATTTAATTTCAAAGTAAGGAGTTACTGATTGTTAAATCCTTTGTTTGGATTTCAAAGCCACTGCAAAACTCTTCTAGGAGCAGGCTCATAGTAACCAGCAGAGCCCCAGTGCCAACACCTGGCACTTCACACGCCCTGCCAATGTCCCACAGCTTGTGCTTTCTCTGTTTTGTTAAGTGAACAAATAAATAGAGGCCAATTAGATATTTAAACAACCATAAAAAATTGACAGCTGCGCCACAAGGGATTTGGTCCAGATTTCGGGTCCGACTTTCCGTGGTTTACATTGACGGGCTGTTGCAGGGTCGGGAGGCTGGATTTCTATGAGCAACCAGCATGGGCCTAGGAAAACCAGAGGCAAGTAGTGGTACCTGCCCGTCCCGCTTTGCCTTCCACAGCACTTCACCCACACCGGCAACTCCCTTGCACAGAGAAGGCTAATAAATGGATTTGCCAGGCCTAGAGACCTGCTGATTAGGAGTCAATTGGAGCCAACCCGCTTGTAAAGGTGCTTTTCGCGTCTTTTCCTTTTTGCAAGGTTAGCTAATACGTTGGAAGCGTTCCGATAGGGCAGCTTGTCTTTGAACTGCACAAAGGGGAACCCAGGACTCATTTCAACCTGGTAACACGTTCGAATCTATCTCGGCCTAGAGTAAAGAAACATGGCAACCAGCATGTTTAGGCAAGGGCTAAGACTATTTTCAGCTGCCTCTGCTGCCAGATCTCCTGGAGGCAGGCACACAGCTGCCACCACCAAGCCAGCAGAGCACGTGCACACCTGCACGCTTCTGGTGCCTACACTCCGCAGCTGGGCTGCCCGAGCATGAAAAACACCCTGGGAAAGCCCCAGCTGTGGAAGGGGCCATGGTAAGGGGCAGAAGGCGCGGGAGTGTCTGCACACCCCTTCTGCTGGCAGCAGAAGCCCAGCCCAGGCTACAGCGGGATGAGGCACGTCCACATACACAAGTCGCCCCTTTTTCCCCAGTGAGGGCTACCAGGGCTTGCCCAGCTGTGAGTATGGCTCTAATCTCCAGCACCTACTTATGGAGAAGCAGCTGCAGCTTCTCCTCGGTGCAGAAATTACCTTCTTTCTAGGGCACACAACCGGTCACTGGCATGGCATCTTCCCCAACAAAAACGCCCCATGCCCATGCTGCTTTTTCTCTCAACATGGTTTGAGGCGATGACAACTTGAATGACTTATCATCTGAATAGAGACAAGAAAGAAGGGGGAGGGAGAACAGGGCAAAGCACAGAGCCCTT